TCCTCCTCCTCCCCCTCCTTCTCCTCCTCCCCCTCCTCCTCTTCGGGCGCGCTGGGGAGCCTATTGGGGCCCTCTTGGGCTCTCTTAGGGCCCTCGGGGCCCTCTTGGCCGTATTGGGGCCGTCTGGGGGCCATCTTGGGCCGTTTTGGACCCCTTTGGGGCGCCTCTGGGGTCGTCTTGGGATGATCTTTGGGGCCTCGTAGGCCGTCTTGGGCCCGTCTGGGGGCCCTCTTGGACCGTTTGGGGGCCGTTTGGGACTCCTCCGGGGCCGTCTTGGGACGATCTGTGGTGCCTCTGGGCCGTCTTGGGCCCGTCTGGGGAAGAAATGGGCCATGGGAGCCGCCCAGGAGCCGCTTCACTCCAAAAAAATACGAGGGAAACGGGCTATTAGACTTTACGTGCGGTCCTCGCCCCTCCCCTGGACCCCTCCCTAGAAGGGCTTCGCCCCCTACTCAACGTCACTCGCTTGTACCTCGCTCTTTCCGTCACCCGAAGAGAAGAAAGCTTTCGGCCCGCCTCGTGCACCTTGCGGCCACCAGGCCCAAAGCTTGGCGGTGCTCCCCGGGTACCCCGCCTCGCGCCTTCGACGAGCGACGGCTGCACACCGCGGCCGCCAGGCCCCGAGGAAGCCACTGCTCCCTGGGGACCCCGCCGCGCGTTCTCGGGCGGGGATCGCCCGAAGCAGAAGAGGGCCCTGGGTCCCGAAGTGGAGCTCCATAGTAGAGCAGGGACCGACCGTCCCGGCATTCCGATAGTCCTACCGCGAAATGCCCTTAGAACCCAAAAATATTCTAAGAACAGAAACAATGTTCTTAGAACAGAAACACGATGTGTTAAAACAAGACAATATCAACAAGACATGTTCTAAGACCATTTCGTGGAAGCCACAAAAGGTTCTTAGAACATTGTTTGGTAGGCCTATAGGCGAGCCAGGACGCTTCGCCACTGCTTGACATAGGGGGCCGAGCCGAGAGATCGAGGCCCGCCGCGCCCGTGGCCTCTGCGGCGCCGGGGAGGTGCTGGCCGCGGTCGGCAGCGCGAGACCGCGGGCAGCGCGGAGGCGACGGAGCTCCCCGGCGGCTTGACTGGGGCGACGCGGCGCTGCGAGGCAGTCACAGGCCGGCGGCGAGCCCAGGGAGGAGTGAGAGATCGACTGCAGAGCTGACTTACCCCATCAGGCTTTTCGTTGGCTGTTCGAAGATCACGCGCAAGTCATGCAAGTCGATCCCCGAACAGTCTGCGCATTGCCCGCAGATCCGGCGAACAAGCAGTTTTGGCAAACGAATTGTGCAGTCGATCTCGCACTCGAAGTGGGAGGCCGCAGGCCTTCTCGGAGGGCGGACGGAGTGCCTCAGAAGCCCTCGCGCCTGCTGAGAGGCCGCCTGCGGTTCCAGAGAGGGCTTGCACGGCCTCTCAGGCGGCGTGAGGGCTTCGGAGAAGATCCGCCGCCCTCCGAGAAGGTGTGCCCCCTCTCGTTCCCCACCTGGGTCCACCGCCGAGCAGGACACCCGGAAGTGCGTGCATCTGGTGGGTGACGCCGTTGGCCTCTCGAGGCTGCCAGGCCGTGGCGGCGGGATCTTCCTGGGAGCGGGCGGGAGAGGGCGAATTTCATCGAGGGGGTGTCTGGGAGGGGGTGGGGGGCTGGGACTTGGCTGCAGCGGCCGCGAGAAGGAGGTCGTGAGTAGGAGAAAAAGGAGAGGGGCAAAACAAAACCGGACTGAAGCAGACCGTAGGGCGCCGTAACGGCCTGGCGCAGGAGCCGGGGGCGTTGGCGCAGCTGGAGCGCGAAGGCAACCGCGTTGCAGGAAGCAGCGGGCAGAGTGAAGGAGAACGCGCTGTGCACATCGCTGGTGCCTGAGTGTGCTCGCTTCTAACCCGGCTCTTTTATGAATGCCCCTGCCCGCCGCTGGACATCGTACGAAAACGCAACAGATTTGGGGCACCAAAGCGCACTACAACCTGCCTCCTCAGTCAGAGCAATGACAGACCGTCCTGGTAGTCCTACAGGTCTACTGCGACACGTCCTTAGAGACGGAAAACTACTGCAACAGCACATGGTTCTTTCAATAGAATAGGATGCGAGCCTCATATCAACCAGACATGTGTTCCCTCTGATACGACGCACAAGACGCTCATGGAGGTTCGCTGGCACGCATTTAGGCAGACTCGGACGCTTAGCCACGGCTCGACCTCCTCATCTTCGTCGCCGTCGCTGGCGGCGCGCCCGCTTTGCGTTGAGCAGCGTCTGCTCTTGCAGTCTCACCTGCGGCGGTCGAGGCAGGACGACGGCGGAGGGGTGAGAGGAGGACGACAGGAGGAGAGAGTTCAGAAGTCCAACCCCTCGCTCCCTCCTTCCTCCTCTACCCTATCACGCCCTGCACCTCCTGTCATACGGAAGAAGAGCCCCCCTCATGGTACGCCACACCTTCAAAGCGGATCGCATCAGCAAGTGCAGGACATGTTTGGTGAATGGCCTTATTTGATGCGCCCCCTCGACCTATGCCCTGTACCCCTCTGCCCCTCCCCCCGTGGCGGCGCGCGAGAAGCGGGCACAGCGAGGCAGACCTTCCGAGGAGCCCCCTCCCCATGCCCCTCGGGAGGCGCCCGTGCGATGCCTTCTGGGCGAGAGGGGGCGACGCCTTCCGGGGATCGGGGTCGAAAGGGGGAGGGCCCGAACGGGGCCCCGACGGTGCACGAGAGGTGCACCTCTCGTCAGCTCCGTTTTGAAGGGGCCCTGGGACACACAAACAAATAGACACCAATAAGAGGATACCAATTTTTCCATAAAGGACAGTGTTTTTGTGTCTTCCCCCCAGCATCCACATGTTCGCATAGTTTCCTGGGGATCGACGCTTAATTGTGTCTGTATGTTGTTCTCCCTCCTGACGTTTCTGGCTCCCCCCATGAAGCAACGCCCGCTTCCCAGAAAGGCGCCGTTTCTGGGCGCAGCATGACCGATCCCTTCCGTTACAAACCCTTTCCGAAATGGGCATCTCATCCTCAAAGCTCCACTCCGGCCGCATGCCCACGCATGGGCGCGAGGAGAGGGCCAGGGGGCCGTTGTGGAAGGGGCCAGTGAAGTCGCCCCTGAACTTCTTGCGTGCCACCAACCCCCTCCCATGCTAGTTCAGCCGGCGCAGGGGCAAGGTGGCGGCGCGTGGCCGACGAGATTCGGGAATGTGCCGTGTGCTAGTCCTCCCCTGGCCTCGCCTCGTGACAGGTGGCACGGCGGACAGTGTTTGGCAGTTTCCGGCCTCTGGGGGCCCTAGCTGGGCCCCAGCATCGAGAGCAGAAGCTCACTGGGGTAAAAAGCCCTGTCCCCAGGAAGGGGTCAAGACATGTGGGGAGCCACTTTTGGGGAGAACACAAATACGACGTCGGACGTCTAGGAAGGGGGGAAGGAATCCAATTAATCCTGGCTTCGCGAAAAAATGCGACGGGCGTTCCTTCTCCATTGTTTCCGGCTCCGTGTTTCCGCGCCCTCCTAGATGGCGTGCGCATCCCGGCTGAAGCAAACTATATCAGCCTCCGCCTGCGAGCGGTGGGGCCATCAGAAAGGTGTAATTATACAGTACACGACGGCAGGCGGGTCCCGAGAGAGCGTCTGGTCCCGCATCTTGAAGGCGTCGCGGCGTCGGGTGTCTGGGACACACAGACACTGAGAATCGTCGATTCCACCGAAAATATGGACAAGATGGAAAGTGGAGGGCAAGACACACATCCAGGACACATGGAACACATAGGAAATCTAGGGAGTCCTGGGACTTGTGTCTATTTTCTGTACGCCCATGGGCCCCATCAAAACCGCTCAACTAACAAAGAAATGTCGTTAAGGAGCGTGATGGAACAGACAGGCTCCGGAAGGCTCTGGGAAGGCGGCGGCGCCCGTTAGATCCTCTCAAAACCGCAGGATTTCAGTGCTCAGAGATCCCCAGTGTATCCCTGTCCGATGTTTGCATCCCCTGTCCTGGCTTCGCCTCCGCGCTCTTCTCCCTCGTGAGGTCTACCCCGAAGCACTGGCCTCGCCCGAAGCGCCCCCCAGCACCCACAGAGACGCGCAGGGCACGGAGCGCCCGCGCACGCCTGTGGGAGCCGGCGGGGGCGCCGGTGCGCCGAGGCGGCGAGGCGCGAGAAGGGCTCCCCCCCCCAGCCGTCGTGCTGGCCACTGGGGAAGGGAGGCTGGACGTGGAGCGCAGCGGCGTTTGTTCCCGGCCAAGCCGGGGCTCGGCCCAGATGTAGGGGAACAACAAGTGGCATAAACATAAAAACTCGGAGGTCCGCGCGGATTTCTCGGATCGGCGCTGGACCCCCCTCCCTGGCGCGCGGAGCGCGCCAGGGGCGGCGGAGGCGCCGCAGGGGGGCCCCAGCGCCGATCCGAGAAATCCGCGCGGACCTCCGAGTTTTTATGTTTATGCCATTTTTGCTTGTTCCCCTAAAGCCGGGGCTCGGCCCAGATGTGAGGAGCGGTCAGCAGGAGAGGGCCCCTGGGCCTGGAGCGGTTTGACTTCTACAGCGGCTTGGCTGCTCTGCGCCCTGCTGCTGGGCACCAGGACGAGGCCTGCCAGAGGCTTGGCGGCCTCCCAGGGCCTCCTGGGACCCATGGTGTGGTAATGGCCTGCCTGCCGATGACTCATGAGATCACCCTCTGCCCATTGACGGTCGACGGCCAGCACCCTTCAAGAGGGAAGGCGGGGAGGAAGGAGAACTGCAGTAGGCATGTCAGATAAGAGACTGACCTGCGCCAAGACGAAGCCAGGACGCGAATAAAATGTGGTGCGGAGAAAGGAATAATCTCTGATATCCAGCGGCTCTGGAGAATGCCTCGGGCGCCGCGGCCTTTCTCTGAGCGTTCCGGAACGCTCGGAGAGCGTTCCAGAACGCCCTGGAACATATTTATTCTCGTCCCAGCCCTGGCAGACGCCAGCAGGTGACCCAGGGAAAGAGGGGGGGGGCACAGAAGTACTGGGGCACCTCAGGACCATCAAAGATTTGCGAAGAGTCTGCCCCAAGACTCCTTATCGTGCGTGCCCACTGTAGGTAGGTGGAAGACAAGGTATGCACCGCTCCCGCCCTGTCCCCACATCAGGGCGGGCTGGCGCATGGCCTCGTTGATGTACCGCTGCTTGCATAACTCCCTATCCGAACTGGCATGGCCGCGGGCAAGGCCGCCAGTTTCACGTTCCTGCGTTCGCGGGGGTCCATACGCCAGTGACAAGACATGGGAGGGAGGAGCGACGATGGATGAGGGAGAGAGGTTGGAGGGCAAGGGTGGGGCGAAAGATGTTGGAAGCCTCGTGTTCGATGCTGCCTGACTCGACATGGCAATAGCGTCGCGTTTGCCGGAGTATGCCCCAGACTGTGGGCTCTTGCATGTTCGATGTCCGTCGTGCGTGTTGCGGTCTGTGGGGTGCGAAGCACCGTGGAGAGCTTGAACTCGTCAATTCAATTGCTCGCGCAACCACCACACTCTCCCATCCGCAACCTGTCCAGCAAAGCCCCCCTAGCCACGATTGCGGCTGCCGATTGGCACATGCTGCCGTATCTCTGCGACAGCGCTAGCGCGCGAACGCTCGGGCGGAGGGCGACCAGCTGGTGTGGGACAATCGGCGCAGCCACGATGGCGCTTACCGATGGAACTTTCCCAACACGGCTCTCAGGCCGCGTTGGCGCGCGGGCACGGTGACATGATGACGTCGACAAAGGCCGCAACAATGGTGATGGTAGCGCTGGTGGTTGCGATGATGACGAGGTAGACGGTGAGGGCAATGACGGCCGCAATGCTGGTTATGACGATGGCGATAATGATGTCCATCCGTCTGTGGTGAAGTTCATTGGATGATGATAACGGCAATGGCATCGGTTGGCGACCACGATGACGGCGGTGATCGATGGATCTGGTGAGGGTGATTGTTCAAAGGGCGCGCGCCGACTTCTTTCCCAACCATCCTGTGGTGTTGGGTCCTCGTTTTGAAGAGACGGTGCCCCGCGTCCCTCCACCTTCCTTCCTTCCTTCCTTCCTCCTCCCCCTCCTCCCTCCTCCCCCTCCTTGCCTCTGCTCTTGGCACACCTCTCACACGCTTCGTAGCCCCATAGGGAGCTCCACCGTAGGCCCCAGTGGGGGTGTCCGCATGCGGTTCCCCCACCCAGGGCAGCGTTTCGTGGTCCCATAGGGAGCTCCACCGTAGGCCCCAATGGGGGTGTCCGCATGCGGCTCCCCCACCCAGGGCATCGTTTCGTGGCCCCATAGGGAGCTCCACCGTAAGCCCCAGTGGGGGTGTCCGCATGCGGTTCCCCTACCCAAAGGTAGCGCCACCGAAAACGATATTCATATTTGCGGTATTCACGACTGCATATGGTTGGGTCCTTCGCCAGGCTAATTTGGCTTGTCATGTTGTTTCGAAGAGCTCACATGCGAAATGCGTTCGAAATGATTTTATTCTGAACGGGTTTCCACAAACGCGCAAGGCGGCGCGCACGTGTGGCCCGCATGAAAGTCTCTGGCGTGTACACCCGTGGACCACTGCCTTGGCAAGTGTCGAATCCGTCTCTGTTCCTCCTCCTCCTCCTCCACTCCCTCTCCCTCTCCCTGTCTGTCTCCCTCTCTCACTCTCTCGTTCTCTCTCTCTCTCTCTCCTTCTTTACCGTCGTTTCCTTCTTCTCCTGCTCCTCCGTTTCCCCATTGCCCTCTTCCTTCGTCTCTTCGACCTTCTGCCCTTCCATCGTCTCCCCTTCCGCCTCCTTAATCGCCTCCTCCTGTTCCAAGTGGGGTTCGCCAGCTTCAAAGCACGACTGAAACATCAAACAATCTATGCATGACTAAAATAAAGAAAGCAGAAGGGGCACACACACACACACACACACTCCGGTACTTATTCAATCGGGCGGGGGTGGGGTGGGGATAAGGGTAGATATTGCATTGTTTGTGTTGCCACTTCCCTTGGGTTTGCTTGTGTTTGCAAGGTTCATGTGTTGATTTCGTTGATTGGATTGTTTGTCCAAACCATCCTGTGGTGTTGGGTCCTCGCTTTGAAGAAACAACGACCCGCGTCCATTCCCTCCTTCCTCTTCCCCCTCCGTCCCCCCTCCCTCCTCCTACTTCGAATCCGAATCGTCATCGCCATTACCATCGCCATCGTCATCGCCATCATCCACATCAGCATCATCATCACCATCATCATCACCATCATCATCACCATCACATACATCGCCAGAATCATGCTTCTGCTTTCCGCATGCGCACCATCCCGGAACACCCTTCACACGGTTCGTGGCCCCTATGGGAGCTCCACCGAAGGCCCCAGTGGCATGGTGCGCATGCGTCCCCGCCCACACTGTGACACAACTCTCACACGGTTCGTCGCCCTAGTGGGAGCACCATCGAAAACTCAAATGGCAGGGTCCGCATGCGACCCCCCGCCAAGTTTGGCACACCCCTCACACGGATCGTGGCCCCTATGGGAGCTCCACCGAAAACCCCACAGGCAAGGTCCACATGCGCCCCCTCTGCCCGTTTTGGCACACCCAATTCACGGTTCGTCGCCGCTTTCGGAACTCCATCGAAAACCCCAATGGCAGGGTACGCGTTCGTCCCCCTGCCCATTTTGGGACCCACCGAAGGCCCAAATGGCAAGGTCCGCGCGCGACCCCCCCGGCCGAGCTGGGCCCCCAAATCCACGGAAAGCGGCACCCACAACGCGGCACGCACAACTACATATGGTTGGGCTTTTCGTCAGGATAGTGTTCCCAATGGCGCTCTCCTTCGTCAGCCACCCCACCCGACAAGAAAAACAGAAGGGACACACGTCCGCAAACCACAAACTCCCACGCCACTGCGAACGGCCAAAGAAGACGCATCCCAAACGCCTTGAAGTAGCCCGATCCTTGCCTGTGAACCATTGCTGAAGCAAGTCGTACAAATCGCACATGGCTGCGCGGGGCTCATCCAACTCCTCAGGCATACACAAGATCCCCGAAGCTCTCATCGGCCCGGCATCCAAGAATTCGGTTATTTGCGAAATCGGCGCTTGCGCTGTAGGGGTCCGAACGGATGTTGGAAAATTCGGCGAATGTTGGTAGCCGATTTCGATGGGCGGCCGGTTTCCCGGTATCCTGGATCTGGCTTCAGTCCACGATTGGTCTCGGTGGGCGGCTGGGTCCCCGGATTCGCAGTTCCTGGCGCTAGGGTTTTCAGCAGTGCGCGCGTGGTCGGTCCCCCAGGCTCCCTATGCAAACGCGCGCACACGTACGCGCATACGTCAATGCAAATGTCCACGTATGAGAATATTTATTCATATCATGAACGGCTATCGGGCGGGCATCCTCCGTCTTGAGCAGCCCTCCTCGGGCCGCGCCCGCGCGCCAAGCGCGGGCCGCCCAGTTCCTCGGCCGCGACGGCCAACGCGCCCGCCTCTATCGCCGCCGCCATCGTCGGGTTGCAAAGCGTGGGCCCCGCGGCCTTCGCCTTGAACCCGTCCTCCGATAACTCCGGCTTGCGCGGCCGTCGCGCCCCTCTCGCACTTCCTCGCGCCGGTCGGGCTCGGGCCTCCACCGCCGACGCCCAAGCCGCCGATCTGACCCGGCCCGGAGTCGCTCTGTGCCGAGAGCGCCCGAGTATCACTCCCTCGGGCGAAGTAGAAGCCCAACGTGGTGAGGTGTCTCTCCATCACCGGCCGCGTCAACTCCTTGGCGCCAATTGAAAGTCGGCGGGCTTCTGCTCGCCAAGCACCGTCTTGACGTTGAGCTTCTTCTGGGGCTCTCCTGCTGTGCCCGCAGAACTGGATCGCGGAGGTGACTGATCTTGCCGGCGCCCCTCCGCCCGAACTTGTCCTTCGACGCCGCAGAGTCCGCGTGCGCATTGATCCTGAGCTCCATGCCGAGGTCGGCTCCTAGGTATCTGATGCCGAGACTGACTGCCAAGGCCTTCGCTCCTGCCGTGAACTTCGCCACGCCGCTCGACAGCGCGGCGGCGCCCTGGGCGCTCGCCGAACTTCTCAGCGGGCGCTCACCGCAGCATGCCCAGACTGTCTCGTGCTCATGTGATCCGCCAGGTCGCCCACCCAATCGGAGTCGCAGTTGATGTCGATCGCGTTGCTGTCGCTGGGCAGCTTGACAAGGTGCTGCGCGCGCCTCGGCTCGCCCTGCCGAACGCTCGCCAATCGCGTCAGCCGTGCCAAGCCTCCATGCGACGGCGCTGCCATGATATTGCAAGATGCGTTTGCTGCGCGCTGCTTGCGGGGCGCGCCCTGCGCCGTGAAGCTGAGCCGCATGCGCAGAGACCAGCACATCTGAAACTCCTTCACGCCCCGCAACGGGGCCTCGTCAAAATGGGCTGCGCCCTCCTCGATCGGGGTGGGCACGGCCTTCGGGCCATTGTCCTTCAAGGCCAACTTGCCCGAGATGATTTCCGCGAGCCCGGGGCCGGGCTCGATCTCGACCTGTTGGAGATCACCTCAAGCATGCTTGTCGTCTGTCGGGCCCAACCCGATTAAAGCCGCCCTCTGGGCGACCGTGCGCTTCCAGAGCACAACCTCCAGAGCGTCAAGCTGGGGCCCATCGCCATCGAAGACAAAATCACCATCGCCATGAACCGCCCCCGAAGAGTCGCGCCCGCTACTGAACGCACGCAGGCAGGAGGTCCCTGCCTTGCACTGAGCCTCCAGCAACTTCTCCTGATAGCACTCCCCCCCGCCGTTGGCCGCGTCACAAACGCCGCGCGTCTGCCGCAAGAGCTGGCCGATCACGCTCTCCCCCGCGTCCTCGGCTGCATGAAGATCTTGCGCTTCGCCAGCGGGTGGAGCCGCGGCCTGGAAGAGTCCGGGATCAGAATCCTCTTCGCCTCTGGCTTTCCGCTCGCGCCAACCTTGGACCTTGCCGCGGCCCTGCCCAGTGCCATCTTGGTTCCTCCCCAGGATGGCAGGCCCGCCACGACATCCTCCGTCCATGGGTTATCCCATATGATCTCCGTCGCGAAAATCCTGGAGCGAACCTTTGCGTCCGTGCCGTCGCCCATGTTGACGTCGACTCAGCCCGCGCCTAGGACCTCGCCGCCCTCTGCGTCGCCGACGCCCACCTCCTCGTTCACGGGCAAGCTCGTCAGGAACTCCACCCCCGCGGCTTCAACCCCCCTCGCATTCTCCAACGGGAGGTGCGCGCCAATAACCTCGCCCCAGCTGTCCTCGCACTTTGGCAGGTGGGTCATCTCGCAGGCCTCGGTGACCACAGGGCAGCCCTCGCCCAGGCTACCGGTGGCACTGCCCTTGCCGCGCTCGACCAAGTCAACCTCGAGCGGGCGCCTGAATCCACCCAGGATGGCCGCCGCCTACTTCGGAGGGCACGAAGCCCTGAGCCTCGCCAGGCCGCCGAGCAAGTCGTGGGGCTCGTGGTAACATCCAGGTCGATTCCAGCACTGGAACTTCTCCTGCTCCCTCGCGATGCCAATCGAGCTTGTCATCCAACCGGTGCGCGCCTGGTTTGACTTCTCCTCCGCGCCTCCGAACTCGGTCTTGACCGGCGCCGCCTGCCACGCCTCTCGCAGGTCGCTCCTGATGTAGTAATCGCCGTCCACGACCAGCAGATCCACTATGCCAGCAGTGCCGCGACCTTGCCGCGCTCGGAGCCTCGCGTAGAGAGTTACGTCCGTCGTCGAGCTGGCCGCGGCGCATGGCCACGCGCGTCTCCCTGTGATCGGCGGCCTCTTTCATGAGCTTGTTCACTGTCTCCTCGAACGCGCTGCCGAAGCTGAGCGAGGCCGTCCACGCCGCGCCAACTTGCCGATCCGATCAGTAACGGTGGACGCTGCGACTCGCGCAAACGCTTCACCTCCTCCTTCTGGTCGGCGTCGTTTAAGTCCCAGCTGGTGCTGAGGTCCACCGCGAAGCCTGGCGGCAGCCTGAACCCCCCCGACCTCTCCAGGAGCATGCCGCGCCCGAAGATCTCAGATACCGTCGCCTCGAACTGCCGGCCTCGATCCTCGAGCCGCCGATCCTGGCCAGGTCATGGATCACCTCCTTCGCAAGCACCCGCGGGCCCCTGTTCTCCGCGGAGCCTCCAGCGTCAGCGCCAGCCTCCTCGGGGGAGCGTTGCCTGCCCTGCCCCGCCTCCATCGGCGACTCAGGGAGGTTGGCCTCCGCGGCCGCCTGCGCCTGCACGTCCGCGGGGACTGCAGCCGCGGCCAAACTCGATGAGGATGGACCCGCCCCCGCAGCACTCGGTGGAGCGCCCGCTGTCGGATCTGGCGCCTCCGCGCCGCCATCGACCCTGCGCTTCTTCGCCCCCCGTAGCCTTGACTCGCCGCCTCGTCTTGGGCCGCGACGGCGAGGCCCTCTATGCGAGCTCGTCAGAAGTCGTGGTGGGCCACCGCCGTCTCCCCCATCTTGGCCGCCTCGCAGCCCTTGCAGCCGTCGGTGAAGCCGCGGCCTCTTTCCGCCATCGGCCTGAGCCCCACATCTCTCCGGATATAAACTCTCCTCGGTCCCGCCGCTGGCCTGGCCACCAGAGCCTGCGGCAAACCCGCCTCCGGCAAGATGGGGGCCGCCGCCGTGGAAGGTAGCGCGTTCCCCGCATCGTCGCCCAGCTTCTTGGGGCCCCACCACGTGGGCCCTTTGCATGCCTCAGCCGAGATCCTGTCGCCACGCTGCTCCACCGGCAAGCGCCAGATGGTGTTGGCCTTGACGTTGCCCCCTTCGTCTTCACGACCACCTCGTCGGTCCTGTCCACGAGCCCTACGTGCATGCCCGCGTGGAACCTCTCGTCTAGCTTCCTCCTGTGCCTGCGGTCAGCCACGGTTAGGACTATCAGGAGCTCTTCATACTCTGGCAGCCTCCTCCTGCAGGGAAGACCCCGGCGCCTCTCGAACGCCACCCTTCCGTCGTCGCCAGACCTCTGAAACACATTCAGCAACTGCACAGGATAGCGGATGTCCCGGATGACGATGGGGCTCGCCGGCTCGGACTTGGTCTCATGCCGTTCCGCCGCGCTGTGTACCAGCACCCTCGTCTGTTACTGCATTTCCAAGATGGCCTTGTCGCTGCAGCCATTCTGCAGCGAGTCGACTTCCGGGCTCTCCTCGGGGATCACATTCACCTCCCCGTCACAGCGCCTGACTTCCGAGATCGCTCCCTTCTTCAACGCGAGCAGCGCCACCTCGCCGCCTCTCTTGACAATGAACTTGCCGTGGCCCGACTGGATGATGTGTTGCGCGCCACTATCTCGGACGAGTGCTCTTGCTTGACCCCTTTCGACTGCACCGCGTCGTTTTCAAGACAGCGCCCCCCCCATGAGCGGGGGGGACACTCCTAAACCACGAACGGGGCCGTCTCCCTCTCGGAGGTCTCCACATCCACCTTCTTGCCTGAGAAACCACAATCCGCATGGATGGTCGCCGCCGCGTGCGCAAACTCCTGCTGCCGACGTTGATCCGCTTTGCCGCTGCCAGCCATGAAATGTCTGTGCCACGCACTGCGAGGTAGATTGCACGCGTCGTGCTCCGCCACCTCCTCTGGAGTCGGCTGCACTGGGCTCGGTTGCGCTCGAACCCGTGCTCGCTCGACGTCCGACTCACCATTCAGGGGACTCTCATGGACTACCAGATGGCCAGGTTGGTCCTGCTCGAATGGCGCCGAAATTATTATGCCCCTCAGCAGCTTCTCCTGCGGGGTCGGTATTATAGCTGGGCCTGCCAGTGGCCCCCCGTGTACACTTGGCAGCTCCGCGTAGGCAGCCGTGGCACGATCCGCCCAACAATGGACACCCAGCCCTTGGTCTTTCATGTCGCTCACGCTCAGGTGGGGCTTCTTCACGCCCACCACGTGAACCTGCATGTCGAGAGACTGGCCCTCCTTCGGCGCGAGGTGGTAGCTGCGCTGCCTAAGGTCTCGGATGCCTGGGCCAGCCGTCGACTCGGCCGTCTCCGCCGTCGGGTAGAATGCATGCAACCACGTGGGCCACACTGTCACGCATGCGCCTTTCTCCTCCTCACCTTCTTCGATGTTTTAATATAAGGACTCTTCTTCATGGTATCATTCGTCTTCCGCCTCCTCCGCCTCAACCCCTCCTCCTCCTCCTCCTCCTCCTCCTCCCCTCCTCCTCCTCCTCCTGCTGCTGCTCCTCCTCCTCTTCCTCATCGTTATGCTCCTTGTCCTCCTCCTCCTCCTCCTCGCCCTCGCTCTCTTCATCATATGTATCCTTTTTCTGTTCCTCATATGTGTCCTCCTCCTCCTCCTCCTCCTCCTCCTCATCCTCTCGCCCCCCTCCTCCTCATCCTCTCGCCCCCCTCCCCCTCCCCCTCACCATCCTCCCTCCCCCCCCTCCTCCTCCCCCCTCCCCCTCCCCCCCCTCCCCCCCTTTTCCCCTCCTCCTCCTCCTGCTCCTCCTCCTCCTGCTCCTCCTCCTCCTCCTGCTCCTCCTCCTCCTACTCCTCCTCCTTCTCCTCCTCCTCCTCATTATCCTCCTCCTCCTCCTCCTCCTCCTCCTCCCCCTCCTCCTCCTTCTGGTGTTCCTCTTCCTCCTCCTCTTTTTCCTCCTCCTCTCCTCCTCCTCCTCCTCATCATCATCATCATCCTCCCCTTCCCCCCCTCCTCCTCCACCTCCTTCCCCCTCTTCCCCCCCTTCCCCCTCCCCCTCCCCCCCCGTCCTCCTTTTCCTTCTCCTCCTACTACTCCTCATTCCCCCCTCCTCCCCTCCTCCTCCTCCTCCTCCTCCGTTTCCTCCCCCCGTCTTCCTCCTCCTCCTTTTCCCCCTCCTCCTCATCCTCCTCCTCCTCCTCCTCTTCCCCCCCTCCCCCATCCTCCTCCTCATCCTCCTTTGCTTCCTCCTCCTCCTCCTCCTTCTCCTCCCCCTCCTCCTCCTCCTCCTCCCTCCTCCCGAGCCTGTGGCAGGGTCACCAGCTCGTCGCTGTCGTTGTCGTCGTTGTCATCGTCGTGGTCTTCGTCCTCCTGGGTCGGCGGTACCAGCCGTAAGGCCTTCAAACTATAGCACGATAGTGACGCTCTACATCTATATGATAAGTCTGTGCGTTCGGGCGTGGCACATTCTCCCTACCCCCTTACTGTCGTTTTGTACGTGCATATACGTGTGCCTGTCTGCGTACGCAAAAGCCTACCCAAGCCCTAGCACCATGCCGGCTGCTGCAAGACAGTGCAGCGAGATGGCTGCTACAGCACCTCAGCAAGTTACACCAGCGTTGGCCCAGCTGGCGCGTGTGGGGTGCACGATATCTCTATCAGGCGCACGCCTTATGGAATACAGCACAACTGCACGATGCGCAGATTCGGATGCGTGCCCTGATTGACCTGCACCAGTGGCAGCCAGCGGGCTGCCTCATCTGGCCACTACCTTCTGGAACCACCGCGGCCCCAAGGTAAATCCGCGTCGCTGCGACAGTGCAGGAAGCTGCTCCCGCAAGATTCCTGGATTCTGAAACGCCGCTGCTTCCCCGATGGCCACGGATCCTCACACGTGCCCCCCCACAGGCCCAGGCCCGGGAGAAACCCGCCACCCAGCCCTGCCAGGACGGTGGGGGCCCCGGGAGCCCCGACGCTCCTGCCGCCCTCCGCCGCCAGATCTCGGACGCCGAGATGCACTTCAGGATGCGCGCTCCATGCGACCCCTCGAAGCTCCCGACGCCGCTCCATGCGACCCCTCGAAGCTCCCGACCCCGCTCCGAGTGGGGAGGGCAGCCTTCTTCGAAGGCGGCTGCCTCCTAGATGCCGCGCCACGAGGTTCCCAGAAGCAGCCACAAGCTTCCTAGAAGGGGTGCCCGCGCCTTCCAAGAAGTGGGGGGGATGCTTCCGAGAAGCCTCACCTAAAATAGGGCTAGGATCGGGATAAATCGCTCCAGAGCGTTCCGGAGCGCTCTCAGAGCGTTCCGGAACGCTCTGGAGCGGCCGCGGCGCCCAATACATCCTCCAAACCCGCCGATTCTCAGAGATTTCGAGTTATCCCGATCCGATTTTGTCCCGATCTTCGCGTCGTTTGATCACCCCCTCCTGCCAAGCTCCCCTGCGCGTGGCTGGCTCCTGTCACGGCGGATGGTCTCGCGGAGCTCCCCCGGGGCCCGGGCGTGGCCCCGCAAGAGGCGCAACGCGCGAGCAGAGGCCCAGTCGCTCTCCGCTCTCGACGGGGGGGGGCTGGGCCCTATCACCTCCTTCCTGCTTCCCGAGCGCGCGGGAGCGGGCGCGAGCCGAGGAAATGGACGGAGGAGGAGGAGGAGGAGGAGGACGAGGGGAGGAGGAGGAGGAGGAGAAGGAGGGTGAGAAGTAGAGTTCAAGAAGGAGTAAGAAGGATGATAATGGAGGAGGAGAAAAAGGAGAAGAAGAAGAAGAAGAAGGAGGAGGGAGAAGGGGGGCTGAAGGATCCAGGCGGCGTGTCAGCAGAAACGGCACTGGGGGTGCCACGGGCGCGCTCCCCATCCCCCCAGCCTTGGCGTTGTGTTCCAGCCTCCGCAGAACCTTGTCGATCCCCTTCGGCGCTGACCTCCCCAAAGCGCACGGCCCCCAGGGACTTGGGCGTGCAAGGCCGAAGAAGCACGACACATGCCAGCGACAAGCGGTACACGGCTCCACCAAAGGATCGTAGAACAGTCTCTGGTAGATCCATAAGCAAATCGGAACGCCTCGCCACTGCTTGGAAAGCGTCAGCATGCCAAAGTTTCCGCAAGAGCGCCACGGTAAGATGATCACGCGGCTCCCAGGGATGGCGTGGAGGAGGAAAGCAGGGGCACGGAGAAGGATTATCACAGATCCAGTGCATGTTTTGATTGCACCAGTGCGACGCTGAGCAGTGCGGCAGGGTCCAGCAGTCCGAGGCTGAACAGCGCCTGTCCCACAGTCCGACGCGACGTGCGTCTGAGGTGCCGGCCGTTCCCCTCCTCCCTCCTTCCCTCCCTCACTGTTTCTGCTCATGTGGAGACGTCAGCCACGTCCGCATGTGGTCGCGCCGCCTGACACACCGTATTTTGTTTGCTTAGACGGGGCCCATGGAAGTCCCGACCCTTTTCCGAGGGCCGGTGTTTGATCCTGGGTCACCGTTTATTGGCCCAAGGGCCTGCACCAATAGCCCGAAATCAGGCAAACACCTTCCGCTGTGAACTTTTCAAATGCAGAAGCGGCACATGAGGAGGAAGGCAGATATATGGGGCAAGGATTCCAGGGCGAGAGTGGGTGGGGGAGGAGCGAGGAGGGGGGAGGGCGGGGCCAGAAGAGGGCGGGGGGCAGGCGTTGAGCGGATGTGAACGGTGGGTCGAGGAGGGGGGGGAATAGAGAGAGAGAGAGAAGGAGGCAGAGATAGGAAAAGTTACGGGATGTAGGATGGACCCAACCTCAGAGACTCGAGCATACATAAAGGCTATCGCTGCTCGGCGTGACCGGCCTCCTGATGCCGCGTCCCCGAAACAGAAGAATAACAGAGCGACTCGGGATGAAAAACACCGCCCACAGAGGAGGGGTCGGGTCGAGAGGTCCAGGGGCCCGAGCCTCGAACTCATCAAGTCCTCAGAAAGGTTTGCGGATGGAGCCCAGGGGGGGAGGTGAAGGCAGAGGGGATCAACGACGGGGAAAAAGGCAGGGGAACAACAAGGGGGCGGTCGGGAGACAGTAGGGGAGGCAGGGCGACTGGGAGGCTTCGCGTGGCTCACCTTCGACTGCGGTCTTCTCCGACCGCCCCCTCTGACAAAACTCTAGAGCAAGTCCTGGGGAGCAAGATCAGACAGGTCATCTTCCCCACCAGTGCGGACGCCCAACGTGGCATTGTTCCCAGGGAGGGCTGATAGATTCCTCCTGATACCGAGCGTCTCGAAAGGCGAGGACTTGGTAAGAGACCCCTACCTGACCTTTACAATGGGGAAGTGTCTTGCAACTTGCAATGATGCTGGACTCCACGACACGAGCCCGACCAACCACAATCAAAAATCACGGACGGCCTCCCGTGGCCCGGACTCTGCACTAGTAGATGGAGCAGGGGCAGGAGACGCAGAAAGAGAGCAACGGCTGCAGGACCAGAACGCAATGAGGAAGAGGAGGGAGCCGGGAGGGATCACCAGGATCAGGAGCAGGATGAGCAGGATCTGGAAGCAAGCAGGACGGGCAAGAGAAGGGCTGGCGCCTGCCGGGGCGGATCTCTCCCCACAGGGAAAAAAGGAGAAGCGGAAAGAGGAGGAGGTTGAAGAGCATGAGGAGGGAAGGGGGAAAAAAGAGCGTCGGGTGTGGTCCTGTTTCCTGATGGTTGATCACGGGTCCAATACTTTTGTCCCAATCCTTCTGTGTAGGGCTCTCGTTTTGGATAGACAACCGCGGTCTCCACTCCTCCTCCCCTCTTCCTGCCTCCTTCAGGGCTCCTCCCTGGGACGCTATGCGAACAACGCAACTGTCGCCACTTTCGTGGGCTCCTGAGAGGTCCAGCGGGGTCGGGGGCCACGGGCACCCAGACGAGGCCGCGTTGCTTCTTGGAGGGCTGCGAACTGCGCAACTGTCGCCACTTTCGTGGGCGCCTGGGAATCCCAGCGGAGTCGCGGGCCACGCGCACCCAGACGGGACCTCGCTGCTCTCTGGGGGGCTGCGAACTGTGAAACTTTCGCCTCGTTCGTGGGCTCCTGGGAGGTCCAACGGAGTCGAGGGCCACGCGCACCCAGACGGGAACCTCGCTGCCCCATGGGTGGTTGTGAACTGCGCAACTAACACAGCAATCGTGGGCCCCTGGGAGTCGGTGACCAATCGCAACCAGACGAGACCTCGCTGCTCTCTGGGTGGCTGCGAACTGCTCAACTGTCGCCACTTTCGCGGGCCCCTGAAAAAAAGGTCCAGCGGGGTCGGGGGCCACGAGGACCCAGACGTGAATATCGTTGCTCCCTGGGTGGCTGCGAGCTGCGCAGCTGTAGCCACGATCGTGGACTCATGGGAGATCCATCGGGGTCGGGGGTCACGCGCACTCACACCAGACCTCGCTGCTCCCTGGGTGGTTGCGACCTGCGCAACTGTCGCCACGTCCGCGGGCCCCTGTGTCGGAAGACACGCGCATCCAGAGGAGCCATCGACGCCCCCTGGGGTGTTGCGAACTGCACAACTGTCGCCACGTTCGCGGGCTCCTGGAAAGTCCAACAGAGTCGGGGGCCACGGGCATCCAGACGAGGCCGCGCTGGTTCCTGGGTGGCTGCCAACTGCGCAACTGTCGCCACTTTCGTGGGCTCCTGGAAGGTCCAGCGGAGTCGAGGGCCATGCAGAGCAAGACAGGACCTCGCTGCTCCGTGGGCGGCTGCGAACTCCGCAACCTTCGCCACCTCCGCGGGCTCCTGGGAGGTCCAACAGAGTCGGGGGCCACGCGCACCCAGACGGGATCCTCGCTGCTGCTTCTGCGAATTGGGCAACTATCACGGCTTTCGTGCGCTCCTGGGGGGTCCAGCGGAGTCGGGGGACACGCGCTACCAGACAGGACCTCGCTGCTCCCTGGGTACCTGCGAACTGCGAAACTGTCGCCTCGTTCGTGGGCTCCACGGAAGTCCAACGGAGTTCGTGGGCCACGGGGACCAAGACGGGAATCGCGCTGCTCCCTGGGTGGCTACGAACTGCGCAGCGGTCGCCACACTCGTGGGCTCTTGAAAGGTCCAGCGGGGTCGGGGGCCACGCGCAACCAGACAGGAGCCTCGATGCCTTCTGGGGTGCTGCGAACTTCGCATCAGTCGCCCCGTCCGTGGGCTTCTAAGGGATCCCGCGGGCTCGGTGGCCATGCTGGCCCAGATGGGACCTCGCTGCTCCCTGGGTGGCTGCGAACTGCCCAACTGTCGCCACTTCCGTGCGCTTCTGGGAGGTCCAGCGGAGTCGCGGGCCACGCGCACCCAAGTTTGCGTGATCTCCAAGGAGGTACGGCGCAATCGGAGGCAACGCGCACCCATACGAGACCTCGCTGGGTGGCTGTGGACTGCGCAAATGACGCCGCTTTCGTGGGCTCCTGGGAGGGCAAGCGGAGTCGGGGGCAACGCGCATGCAGACAAGATCTAGCTACTCCCCGCGTGGCTGCGAACTGCTCAACTGTCGCCACTTTCGTTGGCTCCTGGATGATCCAGCGCAGTCCGGGGGGCACGCCCACCCAGAGGAGACCTCGCGGTTCCCAGCGATGCTGCCAACTGTGCAGGTCTCGGTGTCTTCTTGAGCAAGAGCGATGACTGTCTTACGTTGTGTTCGAAAGGGCGCTCCTTGTAATAATCGCTTTGCTTGGAAAAAGGGGATGGGTGCATCTCAGGTAATGGTTTCGGGGTCGTGCGAATCTGTGTTGGTTCTATTGGGTCTTGGATGCCTTCGTGGAGGTTCCCGGTTCTGGAGGAAGACATGGGAGAAGGCGGAGGAAGACGCATACCTACAAGACCCGCCAAAGGCCGACAAAGAGACTGGGGGGAGAAACAACGACGGGACGACCATTGGGACGATCGACTCCAACCATCCATCCAGGCTTTCCCGGTCGATCTTTCGATGCCACTATCTGACGACATGTCCAGTTATCTACTTAATCAGTACCACTGAACACACATGACAATATACCATATCGATCCCACTACCTATCTTGCGCTTTCTCTATCAATGTATTTTTCCCACCTTCTACATCACGATCTGAAGACCTACCTGTAGACCGAAACCCCTTTTTCATGGTTTTCTTCGACCACTCTTCATATCGGCCTCGGCCTCGGTATCCGTTAATCGAACTCGCTACCGATATACCAATATACCATCGGCACATGTATCGGGAAAACCATCAGGGCATCCATGGAGAACCCATCGAGGTAATCATCAAGACAACCATCGGGATAACCATCGGAACCATCATCGGGACAACCATCGGGACAAACATCGATACAATCCCCGGGACAACTTCCGTGGGCCTATCTACCTATCGATCTACACTATCTATCATATGTGCCACCAAATGTACATCGATAGCACTGTCTGTGGGTCTCATTATCTATATTTTTGTGTCGACACCAGTATATAACAACCGGTCGCACAGCAAATGTACTGTTCGATATATACATATATATATATATAGATCTACCGGCCTCACGATCTATCCCGATTTGAACTTACTCCCCAATCAGAGCTTGCCTCTGTAGGGGTCCTAGCGGATTCATATGGTTAGGTGAGGTGTGTCACAGATGTCCGCGGCCCGCCTGGGTGCCTGCTTGCCCGGGTGCCCAGGTGCCCAGGTGCCCACGAGCCCGGGTGCCTTATAGCCCTATAGCCATCTAGCCCTACAGCCCTACAGATCTATAGCCCGATAGCCTTACAGCCCCATAGCCCAGTAGCCCTATAGCCAAATAGGCCTGTAGGTGTATAGCTCTATTGTCTTATAGCCTGATAATAGTATAGCCCGATCGCCCTAGAACCCTATAGCTCATAGCAACATAGCCCAGTAGCCCTATAGCCAAACAGGACTGTAGTTGTATAGCTCTATCGTCTTATACCCTTATAGTACTATAGCCCGAACGCCCCGGAACCCTATAGCTCTACAGCACTATAGCCCTATAGCTATATAGCCCTATAGCCTATAGCCCAATAGCACTGTAGCCCCATAGCCCTATGGCCCTATAGCCAGATAGCCCAATAGCCCAACAGCCCTACATCTCTACATATCCCTCTAGCCCTCTAGACCTATAGCCTTACAGCCCTATAGCATTGTGGCCAATAGCCCTCTGGCCCTATGGCTCTATCTGCCTAGAGCCCTACAGCCCCGTAGCCCTATATCATTATAGCCCTATATCCCTATGGTCCTATAACCCTATGGCCCCATAGTCCTATGGACTCATAGCCCTGTGGCCCTATGGCCCTGTAGCCCTATAGCCCTATAGAGCTATAGCCCTATGGCCCTATAGCCCCTGTATCGCCCTATAGCCCAAATAGCGTTACAAGGACTTTGATTGGGCCTTGTCCGCGATATCATACATATATATAGATATACACACATACACATAACACAATTATATATACATATATAAATATATATGTTTATATATATGTGTGTTGACACTATGGCCGTCGCCGTCTACTTGGCTCTCCGCTTCGCTCTATGATAGGGATGGAACGGCAACGGCGCGCGGTTGTTTGTCAGGACACTTCTCAGGTGGCTTTTAAACCGTTTGGGGGCCGTTTGGGGGCTCTTTGGACCTGTGGGGGCCTCCTGCAGCGTCTTTGGGGCCTGCTGGCGGTCTCGGGGACCCCCTCAGGGCGGAGGGTTTGGACTCTCAAATCGAGCTCCCCCTCTTGGACCCCACTGGGGACCCTCTCAGAGGGCGCTCTTGGGCGGTCTTGGGTGCTTCTTGAACCGTCTTCGGGCTCGTCTGGGGGGCCCTCTTGGGGGCTTCTTGGGCCGTCTTGGGGTGATCTTGGAAGCCCCATGGGCCTTCTTAGACGCCGTGGCGAGCGACAAATCGCAGATGCTCAAAAAGGATGCATGTGTTCCTGGGGAATCGGGCGATCTGTGCATAATGGAGCTCTGTTCGGGGGCTCTTGGAAGCCTCTCGGGGCGTCTTTCAGCCTCTTGGGCCGTCTGGATGCCGCGTGCAGCGTCTTGGACCGATCGCTCTGCGACTCGGGGCCCTCTGAAAACGTTTGAAAAGGCCTCTTGCAACCCTGTTGTGCAGCCTTCTTGGCCCGCTTGGGGGGCCCTCTTAAGGGCACTCAGGGGCCGTGTCGGGCCCTCCTGGGGAGCTCTGGACTCAAGCCCCTCGCCAGCATGCAAATCAAGGCAGATCCGTTTTCCACCACAAGTCGTTGTACACACATAACTATATGTGTACCCGATGTAGTAGTACATCTGTACTAGTCGCTCAATCCACCCATATATATATATATATGCCATCGGGTTGCCCATCGTGGAAAACAACGCCACGCCCATGGGTTCAACAATCTGGACAACTATATGGGCAACCGTCGGAACTTTCATCGGTACAACCATGAGAGCAACCGGTTAAAACACCGCCGGGCAACCGTACCGACGGCACAACCGACGGTATAATATCGCGGGCCGCGGGCCGCCAGCAAGAGCGACTTTGGCCATAGCAACGGCGACTCGCCCGCGCACCCAGACTCGCCTCGCCACGAAACCAACACCGATTTCCCAGTGGAGGGTTTCCGCTTCAGTTCGCTCGCACCCCCCAAATTTCGACATCCGTCCGACGTCCATGGTGTTGTTGTTGGAATCGCGCTCTTGCGCTAGAATTGCCCGCAATTGCACAAGCGCCGCGGTCCCGACACTCAGGCACCCAGGGGCCGCCCGCGCTCGCGTGTAGGACTCCCTCACAGCTTACATGGGAATCGGGATCTCGATGCCTTTCGTGGCCCAGTTGCAGCCCTTCGTGGCCCTCTCGGTGCAATTTGTGGACCCGTGGCAGCCCTTCGTGGCCCCGTTGCTGCCCTTCGAGGCCCCAATCGCTGCCATTCGTGGCCCCCTCGCTGCCATTCGCGAGCCCGTTGCAGCCCTTCGTGGCCCCCTCGCTGCTTTTCGTGGCCCCGTTGCAGCCATTCGTGGCCCCCTCGCTGCCCTTCGTGGCGACGTTGCTGCCCTTCGTGGCCGCCTCGCTGCCCTTCGTGGCCCCTCGCTACCTTTCGTGGCCCCGTTGCTCCCCTTCGTAGTCCCGTTGCTGCCATTCGTGGCCACGTTGCTGCCCTTCGTGGCCCCCGTCGTTGCCCTTCGTGGCCCCGTTGCAGCTTTTCGTGGCCCCCTCTCTGCCCTTCGTGGCTCCATATATGCATGCCACTCGTGGCCCCCGCTCGTTCGCGCACGTCGTGGCCCCATATGCATGCGCTTCGTGGCCCCGCCGTCGATTTTGCGGCCCCCTCGCTGCCCTTCGTGGCCCCGTAGCTGCCCTCAGTAGCCCCGTCTTTGCCCTCTGCGGTCCAATATACGCACGCCATTCGTGGCCCCGGCACTTTCGCGCCCGTCCTGGCCCAATATGCATACCGTTCGTGGCCCCGTTGTCGCCGTTTCTGGCCCCCTCGCTGTCCTACGTGGCCCCGCTGCTACCCTCAGTGGCCCCGTCGTTGCCCTCTGTGGCCCCGCATTATCTGCCCTTCGTGGTCACCGTTCGTTTGCGCCCTTCCTGGCCCCATACGTATGCACTTCGTGGCCTCGCTGTCGCCCTTCGTGACCCCCTTCCTGCCCTTTGTGGCCCCGCTTTCGCTCTCGCTCTCGCTCTCGCTTGTCGTCGTCGTCGTCGTCGTCGTCGTCGTGGTCGGTCCCCTGTCCGTCCCTCCTGGGGTAGGGTTGCCGCCGATCAGCGCTGCCGCTGGCGAGGCCGACGGTCCGCGGCCGCCCCGCCGCTTGCCGGGGCCCGGCCTGCAGGGAAGATTTACCCCCCCAAAGGGGCACGATCGAAGACGAAGACTGGTATCGAGGATTTGGGAAATACACGTTGGAGGACACTCGAGCAGATAAGAGCGAGCAGTATCAAAATTATTACTAGTATTCTGGTTACTATTATTAGTATGATTATTATTATTGTTATTATTAACTATTATTACTGTTGTTGTTGAGCCACGGGCCCTTTCGCATGGACCCGCTTCTCACCACGAGTCGTCTTTGACGGCCCCGGGACTCGGTAAGGGTCCCGAGGAGCCGAAACAACACAAAAAAACACGTCGTGCATTTCCACGGTGCGATGATACCAGGGGAGAATAAGACACGCACGTCGTTCTCACCGGCAATCGGCCGATGCAAGAGGAGAGGGGGGAAGGAGGGGGACGTGGAACGGAGAAAAGGATCCTGAGTCCTGAGTCTCAGACTCCCGACTCAGCGAAGCAGATCGCACAGCAACACGATGGCGAGGAAGACAGATGACGGTTGAGAGGTGGAGGACGAGAGGAGTACAGTACAGGGAAACGACGCGGAAGAGGGCGAGGCAAAAAGAAAGGAATAAGAGGGAGATTGAGGAGGACGACGACGAAAGGGAGGAAGAAGGAAGCGGTAGAAGGGAAGAAAGAGTGAGGAGAAGGGAGGAGAGAGCAGGAATTATGACATCGGAGGGCGGAGCCCTTCTTCTCCTCCTCCTCCTCCTCCTCCTCCTCCTCCTCCTCCTCCTCATCATCATCATCATCATCATCATCATCATCATCATCCTCTTTTCTCCTCCTCCTCCTTCACCTCCTCCTCCTCCTCCCCATCCTCCTCCACTCTCTCGCTATCTCTCCCTCCATCCTCGTCTCCCTCTCTCCCGTCCGCCCTTCTCCTGCTCACTCAACATACCTAGGTTGGTTTTCGTTGAACCGTCTTTAGGGGACGATCGGGGTCCTCCCATGCTTGGGCTTGCCGTCCACCGTCCTTCACATGGGTAGCTCAGGCATGGTCCCACTGAAGGACGTTTGTCCACACATGGCGCGATCGTCTTCGAACAGGTCTCTTCTCCTTACCTTCTCGTGACCTCTCCTTGTTGGTGTGCTATGGGGTCGTAGCAGGGAACGCGTTGGGTGGAAGGGGCGCGCCAAAGAGTGGTGTCATGAAGAGGGGGGGGGGGCAAGGGCACTCCGTGGGCCTGCGGCTGCCGATGCACGTGTGCAGACCCACGCGCGCGCACCGCCGGAAGAAGAGACATACCAAGAACTTGCATAGACACGATAAAGACCATGATGCCTGGGAGACTCCGCTGCCCCAGCCATCAAGCCCGCACACCTCAGTCATTCCCAAACGTGCGAGGCCGTGCTTCCTCACAACGAGGCGCCCCGAGATGTCTGGACCCCTTCCCGGGGACCGCCGTTTCCTCCAGGGTACGCCAGGGCAAAAGCACGCAAGCAGGAACGCTCGCCTTTTCGATCTGTCACGGCGCGAGTCTGTCAAGGTCAACGCCCTCCTCTGAACAGGAACCGACCGTCACGGCGTTCCTATAGGCCTACCACGAATTTTCTCGGTTCGGGGGTCAGAGGCAATGTTCTCAGGACGTAGAGCCGATGTGCTCAAACAAAAAAGCCTCAGCCATACACGATCTCAGGACAGTTCGTTCAGACCACACACACAGTTCTTAGAACATGCTTCGGTGGGTCTATGGGCAAGCCGGGACGCTTCGGGCTCTGCCCGAGACTCCCCGGCGCAGGGGCACCCGGCCGTGGGGCGCGCGGGATCAGGCGTGCACGTGGCCGGGCAGGAGCTCGCACTGGCGGGCCGCGAGCGCTCCGCTCCTCGCGCCGCCGCCCCCCCACCCCCCCCGCCCCCCCCCAGGGGCGTGGGTAGAAAAAAGTCGGGCCTGACCCCTACAGGGGGATTTTCGACGAAAAATAGAACATACCCCAAACATACTCCGAAAGTAGTCCAAAAATAGTCGGGGGACTATTTTTTGAATATGGTTTGACCTTTTTGGGGCATGTTTAGGGTATGGTTTATTTTTCGTCGAAAATTCCCCTGTAGGGGGACACGCCCGACATAAGGGGAGAGGAAAAATAACTATGCACAAACACCGATTCTGGCCAGGCCCACCCTGAGCCCTGGATCGGTGCACACGCCCTCCTGCAGTGGCCAGGAGAGCATGTGCACCGATCCTGGGTCAAGGATGGGCCTTACAAGGATCGGTGAATGTGCATAGCTCTCTTCGCCCTAGGGGGGGGGCGGGGCGGGAAAAGGAGGGGCGGACAAACGGGCAGAGGAGACGCGAGAGGGGAGGGCGTGGGAGGGAGGGAGGGGAGATGGGAGGCGGGGAGGTCGTACTCTTCAGGTGCAGCTGTACCGGGATCGCGTGGCAGGTGTGCACTGCCATCCACGTTGCAGTGTGTATTGTACCATATCGTTAGATTCCTTGGTCTGCGCTTCCTTGATTTTTTTGTTGTGCGTTGTGCAACTGCTTGTAACGCAAACGATGCCAAACGCAGGAGACAAGGGCTCCTCTGGAGGTGCCGAAGTATTTCTCCCCTTCCCCGGCAAACTGACCATCTCGATCGTATCACGGGCGCGTTCAAGGCAGAGTCCATCGATATGGCCTGTATTGCAGGATGCAGTGCGTCATACTATTTCGAAGCATCGTTGTCCACACGTCGAGCCAAAAAAACCCTTCCTTCCAGGAATCCTTGGGTAATCGACGCTGACGGCAAGTAAACTGGTCACTGAGTTGTATGGGCATGCTCTTTGGGACTTGTGCACCTCCACAACACCTCCTTCACGGCTTTCAATCGATGTTGGATGCGTCTGGAGCGTTGCGGTGATATGGAAGAATCTGATCAACGTGCCAGGACGTGCATGTGCTTCTCGCTTGTCTGGCCAATCCCGTGCATATTCTCGAGCTTCGATGTTGTTGCACGTATAGCCCCCAACTGCGTGCCAAGAAACGGCACAACTGTCGGTATTATTTCCGAGCGTGAGAATGGTGAACACACGGGCGGGGGCTCTGATGGGCAACAGGAAAGTGAACGTAGTCTTCAGCATGTTCAGAATCAGCATGTTTTGCAACTGTTGGCTCAAAGAGCTGGGGCGACAACCAAATACTTCAAACTGCCTCGTTATCTCATGATGCTGGAGGAGGACTCATTGTCGATACCAACATTCCTTGTCGCAGCTACGGTTGAATCTCACACAGCGTCCTCCCATGAAACTGCACTTATTTCCATAGCTGCCCTTGACTGTAACAATTTCGTCAACACCTTCGGCACGACGATCCGACGCTCCGCTCCGCGAGAAGGGGGCCGAGAGACGCCGCGGCGTCGGCATTCCCACAAGGAACGACGCATATCTCGGACGCCTGGGCGCATGCCCTTCGTGCTGCAGCCAACTTGCCAGATCCTTGTAGTGCGACCATCCGGCGACTTCAGGCTATCTGGGACCCAGTGCAATAGCCATGAAAAAACTCTACATATTTATGCGCATGGATGTGTACGGAGTGTGTCACGGTTTGCGTCATTTCGGCCACGTCGGAGGTCTCGTGGACAGGGTTCTTGAGCGCCCGTGCAACCAACCATAACGACATTTACACGTTATTACAAACAACGCTTTTGATCCCAAACTACGTCGCCAAAATGAAATTGCAAGCGTCGCTCATGGTCATTTTCCAGTCTGTGGTGCAGGACGCGCGCTCCTCGTACACCATCCGGGTGGTGCATGACCAGTGAGATCATAGTACGTTGGCTTGGGCCAGGCGGGCCAGCACCCAGCTGTTGGGCGACCGCCCGCGTTTCGCCACGTGTGCATCCCGACGGATTGCTGTAAGCGCGTTCAACCTGCGACCCCGTGGAAGAAGATTTCGATGACGGTTCAGAGGTGCTGCCGCGATGTCCGCCACGATGCGAGCTCGCCATGATGAGGAGGAGGGGGAGGAGGGGAAGGAGGGGAGGGAGGAGGAGGAGGGAGGAGGAGGAGGGGGAGGAGGAGGAGGAGGAGGAGGAGGAGGAGGATGAGGAGGAGGGGAGGAGGGAGGATGAGGAGGAGGAGGAGGAGGAGGAGGAGGAGGAGGAGGAGGAGGAGGAGGAGGAGGAGAAGGAGGAGGAGGAGGAGGGGGGGGGGGGGGGGGGGGGGGGGGAGGGTGAGGAGGGGGGGGGAGGAGGGAGCGCCTCCTCCTCCTCCTCCCCCTCCTCCTCCTCCCCCTTCTCCTCAAACCACCTTCGACAAATGCAGCTTCCATGGGCTTAGACAACTAGTTCGCCTCCCCGTCTTCTGCCAATGTTTCGCCCCACGCGCTGGCAAGGGGTGAAGGGGCCCAGAGACACACACACACATAAATGGACACAACTAACGAGATTCCACATAGTTTCCCCATAGTTTCTCGGCTTTTGTCTTCCCCCCCACTTCCCGTATTTTCACATATTTCTGGGGGATCGAAGCTTGATTGAGTCTGTGTGTTTTATTTCCCTCCTGAAAGGGGGAGCTGCGGCACGAAAGATTGGTTGACTTCCTTGATCCCAGGGCGCCTAACCCGCACCTCGGTGCGAGGTGATCCGCCGCTTCTGCCTCCAATTGGTGATTACACCAATTCGCGAGGGGTTGAGTGCCTGCAGCAGTGGCACGACTTGGCGTTGCTGCTCGGCGCGCTGGTCGATGCGAACTGTCGCTCCGCTGAATTCTGCGTGACCTGCTAGGACAAAGGTCCGAACGTGATATGAATGCACATTAGGGCTTGCATGATGCACGCATGGATTGATCAAATACGACGTGCCAATGACCGGTGGGATGATGCTGATGCCGCGGATGCCGATGTTGTCAAACTGTACCGTAATACTTTTGACAACTGCCTACCTCGCTCCCTGCTTGGCCGGGACACCAAAAACAAAACATAATGTTCCAGCCGTCTGCCCTACGGTCAAAAGGAACGTTTCCGCAACGACCAAGAAATCGTTAACGTCTTCGGCTTTGAGGCTCCAATCTGCACATCAGCACATGCACGAAGCTCTCCCGCAGTCGTTTGTGGAACTACTTTCGTTTGCCCGCATGCCACAGAGAGATACTTCCAAACGAGTGCCGCGGGCGTTGGTTCACATCGCCAACCCTGAACGTCCGTCGTGTTTTGTGCCCGACCTCGCACAGGCACCTGGGACGGTGAAAGCGTAACTGGACCTTCGTGACATGCATGTTCCTCCAACCGACTGCAACTGTCTACAGTGTATGTGCGTTCTCCACGGACCCTCCGCGTTGCTGATGCTGGGCAGGCTTTTGAGATGCTTCCCAAGAACGCGGTGTTGGATGATCTGGAGCATGTTCTTGGGAAGGCCAAGGCCCATGGCCGTGAGCTTGTGCAAGTGCTCAAGCCTGTGAAAAGGTTGGTCGACAACTGCAACTCCGTGCGCCGGGGGACCTGAAAGACCGCACCATCCGCCTCTTGGAGAGCATAAGTAAATGCGTGCGTGCGTGCATGGAGGTAAGATGACATAGATTTCGTGACAAGTTTCTGGAACAGAACAACGGGGTCCCTCGTCTGATGTTTTGCCCGGCGCGAGTTTACGTTCGACCACCAAGTTTGGAGACAGTATGTCGCTGCAGTTGGAGTCTCGGGGCCATCATGAGAAAATGAACTTGGCAAACCAATACGAAGATGATTTGCTGTTAGGACCTCATTGATGTCGTCCGAGTCGTTTACCTAATATTACGTCGGCTAGATTTGATTATGTAGTGAACTTTTCACCAGATGACAACCACCATAACTAATAAGCAACAATATTCTGGATGTTACCGTCAAGTTCGGTCTGAGCGTTGTTGACATCAGCATGTTTTGTAAAATGCGGGTTCCTTAAAAGTGTTGGTGTTGCGGATCTGGTCAAGTGACGATTACCGCCTTCAGTCGGCCCACCTCCCATCATCATACGGCGATCGACGAAAAACCTGATGAGCCAGCGTGCGCGATGGAGGCACCTTGACTTAGGAGCTGACGCAAAGCAGTGGGCCTGCGCGGGTGAAGTATGCGAGTTGCTGTTGTCAGGGCACGAGCCTCTCCACATCAAGAGCGCATGGCACCGCAGCCGGGGCCACGATGTAGAGCACTAGGCAGGGCTCCCCGTGCTGGTTCTACTCCCTAGCAAGCGTGGGGATGCGAGCTGCCCGCGCCCATATGATAGCATTCTAGCAGTCATTTCCGCACTGAGGTTCTTCTTCGATGTGCGGGTCTAGCTTGCGTCTTGGGCCCAACCACAACCAAATGCCTCCACCTAAATCTGAAGGGCAGGGCACTTTGCAATGCTGACCTCTTTGTTGGCAGCTCCGGTCGGCAGTTGTAGCTTCAAGAGGGAAGGGCTGCGCAGCGCAGCTGTCATGAGTGTCATGGTACGTAGATTTACTTGTGGGCTCATGCCTGGTGATGCGCCTTGCGATTCTATCCAAGGCCACCATGGCAACAGCAGGTGTTGCAATCCTTCGTTCAAGGTGGCCGCTGTGGGGGGTCAGATCCAAGCGCGCAGGCCGGTGATGAGGGGCCCCCTGCGGGCCTGCCTTGCAGGGCCACTGCGGCGAAGGGCCACTCTGACGTGCAGCCGCCCGTTTCTGGAGGCCCCCAGTGGGCAGCGCATGGCCGAGGTGGCTGCTGTGCAGAGGGCCGTCTCTCCTCCTCCTCCTCCTCCTCCTCCTCCTCCTCCTCCTCCTCCTCCTCCTCCTCCTCCTGCCTGCACTGCGCCCTGGCCTGACACGCTCCCGACGCCTTGGTAGCTCCCGGGCGGCCGGGAGCGACCATCGCAGGCTTGTCTTCCAGTCGGTCTGGGTCAGGGGCTGTGGCCCG